ATGTTTCTTAGTAGATTATCATGTTTTTGTAAGCTGATTCAAAGAGTAAATGGTATTAACATTGAGCTGTCCATAGTTGGGCGTTGTTGAACTTCTGGTACTTGCACAACATTTCATGTGAATACCAAAGTAACCATATAATCACAAAATAGCTTTAGGTGTGGGTTCAGAGTGGTACAATGTCACTGAGATATGGTTAGTTGGGTATTCAGATGAAACTATTACTTTAAAAAACTAATCCTGGTTGTATCTCTTTTTCGTTTTTTCGTTTGCATGTAACACTGTTTGATATTACTAACCGCACCGAGCCTTCATTCCGGGTGGTGAGTAAACCTGAAGAAGAAGACCATAAACCCCTTCTCGGAACGGGTGTTGTTAGTGGACCTGGTCTGCGATTCAAGGTTGGACTCTGTGATGATAAGTATCACATAACAGGTAAAGTAGGCAGCATCATCTTTATCGAAATGTAAGTATTATTGACAATAATCATAACTAGATTATATGCAAATTTATATGATAGGTACCTGGATCAACGTTGTTTAAACATGCGCATTCAATCGTGACGGCATCTAATTCTGCATTTTAAACCTACCCAACCCTTTTCCTTTCTACAATTCCTGAGCCGCTGGTTCTCCATAAGTGTACCTCGCAGAACTTTTTTAACCCCCATGGGTAAAGATGCTGTGTTGCTCACTCCTCTCCCCTTCCCTGGTGTATTATGGATGGTGTGAATATTCACATCGGTGGCATGGCCCCTGACCCCCTTGTACATCATAAAATGAAAATGAAAATGAAAAGGAAATGGTGAAATTTTTGAATCATAAATCATATTCCAAATCTCCTTTTCCCTCTCCCGATCCAAACAATTGTCATCCACTAACCTCGAGAAGACCGTGAGTAATCGGTTCAAATCCTTCAATTTTAGATTTAAGACATTTATAATTTATAAAGAAAATGATAACTTGGCTCTGTAAAGTTTATTCGATTGAGCCTGCACAAATAAAGTAATTAACAAAAAAAAATAAGCCTGTAAAATCAAGCAATTAAAAAAGAAAAATTACACTGGTTCCAGCAACCCAGGACTCCAAAAGTGTTGGAACTAAAACGTGTGTGCCAGCTGTAGTTCATTTTCGTGGCAAATGTGGCTGGTAATTAAAGGTAAAGGGTTCTATATGTAGTAGGGTAGAGAACTACTTCGGCCTAATCGCCCATTTTGGGCCTATTGAGCAGAACACTTCTAATAAATCCATGATTTCAGAGTTAACCAGCCAATTATGCGCTTGGTACGATACTTTAGTTAATAAGCTACGGAACGAAGTCAATGAGAACGCGTGATATGAAGGTTTGCACCCATTATTCCCAAAAACAAAAGAAGCGCTCCGACCGAATCAATTTTTATCTTCATCCGATAGACCGAAGTGAATTCATTGGCATATCAATGGCGTTTCAATGCGTTAGACCGAGTTTGGCGTCAAGAAGCAGTGTTAAGGCCGGCGCACAATGGATAAGTTTTCAGGTTTTTTGTAATAATAACATTCCATTTGGTGCTACACTGCTCTAGATTAAGAAAGAATAAGTGCGGGTTGTGCTTAATAGGCCGGAAATGGGGTAGTTAACCCTATATCTGGAATATACTGGTATCAAAAAATCATGCAAGCGTTCAATCGTTATGACCATTTTTAAAAGTGACAATTATTCCGTATCACCCTGTACACTAGAATACTGTGTAGTATTTTTTTCCAATAACGTACACTCTGAAAAATCTTCACGACCGATTGACGTGAAAACATAGGTGGTTTTCGTCCACCCTATTTTTCACGTAACTTTAACCGGAATTGCACGTAGCCGATCAAAATTCAGCTTCAATTATCTACGTGATTAGTCAGGTAAATAAGACCTGATTTCCACGTACTGCTTACATGAAATTGGGGTGAATACTACTGGACATCTGGTAACTTTTACGTGACATTCCGTTTTGTTTAAAATGCTTTTCATGTAATTTGTACGTGAATTTTTAATGAGAATAATGGAAGTATGTATAGAAGCAGTAAATATTATGCAATTTTATTGGGAAGGTATACATTTCACGTGTTTAAATTAATACTTATACATATCTACTCATAAAATTGTATTGACTAATTGATTATTATAAAGTAGAAACGTGTATGAGTTTTTTTTTATTTCTGACAAAATATTAACACTTGTTTGCAGACTCAAAATGCTGATGTCACCGTCTGAAATTATAAAACTTGAAAAAGGCTACATATAATAATAAATAACTTAATGTAAAATAATCTAATTACCGTCCAACATTTGAAGCAAGCGCTGAGGAATTTTGAATCTTTGAGGAGTTCTTCCACCACAAACGTTTGTGTCTTCCACCACGCTCGGTGACGCTATATTGATTTTTTTTTGCGTACCTGAAAATCACGTAAATCTCGTTCACGGAAATATCAAATTTCCAAACACACAAACACCAATACACTAAATCTGTTTACGTGAATGTACGGTAAATTTCACCAACATTTTTAGCGGACATGACGTGTAATGCAGGTCAAAGTTACAAATGTCACGTAACATTTGAGATTTTCTAAATACAAATCAGCTACGTGATATTTCACGTAAATCGGACGTGAAGATTTTTTAGAGTGTATAATATTGAAGAAAAAGGGGGTGCTCGAATTACCCCGTATGCTCATGAAGTCCTTTCCTCCCTAATTGAATTGTCTTAGGGATAAAATATAAAATCATAATTTTGAGAAAAGCCACTAAAAGCAATGGCGTCGCGTAACCTCACTTTTTCTTCTTCTTCTTCTTCGCATTTCAAGCTTTTTGCGTGCTCTCAGCTTAGTGTTCTAGATGCACTTCACAATTATTAATTGAGAGCTTTCAATGCCTGTACCATTTTTGGATTTGTATAATTGTGTAGCAAGTACAATCATACTCATGCCCAGGGAAGTTGAGAAATTTTCCAACCCGAAAAAGACCTCGACCGGACCGGGGATCGAACCCAGCCACCTCCAGCATGGTCTTGCTTTGTAGCTGCGCCTTTACCGACTGAGCTAAGGGGGGCCCCTTCACTTATTATCTTTTCAATAACTTTGGAAACGTAATTTAGAGTCATATCTATATTCAAATCAGTCCCAAAATGCTGGTGGTCTTCTAGTTCCACTTTTCTTTTTTTAATCTTTATTAGGGAGATTATTAGCCATTGGCTAGTTCATCTCCAATTCTAGTTTCACTGATTTGTTTCGATTAAAAGCAATATATTTTTTATTTGTTTACGTGTTGAGAGTGGTATATTGAGGTTAGGGCCACGCCTTTGCTTATATAGTAAGTTTTTTTATTCAGTGTAGGAATGGAAATTTTATATTTTTAATATTAAAAAAAAAATCAGTCGATTTCCTACAATTCTCTCTTTGAAAACATGTTTTAGGTTTTATCCGAGGTTTTATCATTTTATGTTTATTTTGTATACAAAAAAAAACGAAAAATCGATTTTTTTGAATGACTCATGGAAACGTCATTGTCAGATTAATTATTTTCCTTTAAAAACAGCCATCTTGTAATGTGTGGAGGACTACACTCAAAAAATAAATCACATTTCCGATGGAAAATATCCATTAGAATTTCACATAACTTTCATGTGATCTCATAATTGGGAATCGCACCACGAAATCACATGAACCTTATATGTCCAATGAAGTTTATGTGATTTAACACATAGAATTCATGTGATCATATGAATCTTATGTGAATTTCAGGTAAACATCATTAATTTTGTTATTGGAAAAATATCATGTGCGTTCCCAATGGAAACTATATGAAAACTTTTTTCAGTGTACACTCAGAATAATTTTCACGTAAATGCTACGTGAAAACATACGTAGATTTTTTCCATCGTACTTTTCACATAAGAGCTACGTGATTTTCATGCAGAGGCACTCATTTCATTAAACTTAACCGTCACCGGATTATCACATAGAAGTTACGTGATTTGGTCGTTGACATTCATTGGAGGATTCTAGTATCAATATTTTGACATACAAATAATATGTAGATAGAACCTTTACTGCTTTCATAGTTGTATAATTAAATAATATTCCTTAAATATATTCAAATATTCCACATAAGATTTTTTTTTTAAATATTCGATACGCAGCACAAACAATCTGGACGATCAGGGAGATGGGCCGAGGTACTGTTTCCCTTAGAGGAAGAAACCGCTGGACAGCTTGACATAATTATGTTGAGCACGATGAAATAGACAGTTAATTTTTGTTAAAGAGAATAAAATAATGCCAATATCTTTCAAAAATACCGATCAAAAGCATATCATGATGCCGCCATGATTTGCGCCGCTTTGAGTGTACGTCGAGGTGTACGTACCATTTTTTTTAGATGTGGAAATCACATAAGCTTTAAGTGAAACGCACATAGACTCAGTGTTATGTGAAAATCACGTACATTTAATTGATTATGTAGGTGTGTTAAAAAAGAACTTCCTGTGAAATTCAAGGGACATCACATACATTCTACGTGAGCCACGTAAAACTGAGAGGAGGAGAACAATTGAGAGCTTACGTGATTTTTCACCTAGCTTAAACGTATAGATTATTTTGAGTGTAGTATACACCCTAATACAAATAACCATAAAAGAGAGCTTAACGACGTGTTCGGGGTATCATCCAAACCATTTGTGAGATAGTTTACCTATCCGGGATACAGTTCGTTTATGGTATTTGTTTATTAGGGCACACTCAAAGGGTGCCCAGAAAGAATAAGCACACTTTAAACTCGCCGCCATTTCTACCCCGATGAAGTTTATCAGCTGTTCATCGTTGTGTGTTGTTGTTTACTTATTGCTCAACAAGTTTGTGTGCGCAAAATGCATTTTTTACAACATCATCATAATGCGAGGCATTTCCCCGGAAAAGCTCAAACAGATCGTGCACAAATGGTGCACTATTCCCAACCTATCAGTAAGGAAGTTGGCGAAAATGGAGGAAGTAAGTATCGCAGCAGTTCAAACCGCCACCTGGAAGTTCGGTGAAGAATTTACCTTCGAGGACACACCGAAATCTGGCCGTAAAACGGGACCGGTAGACCGAAAATTGGACCAGAACATCACCCAAGCTTTCTTCAATAAGAAAAGTGCCTCTGTTCGAGATTTGGCCAAAAAACTTAGAACATCGAAGAGTAACGTCAAACGTGCCAAGGCAAGAAACGGGCTGAAAACGTTCAAGAAGCAGAAGAATCTGAAACGGAGTCAGAAACAAGCCGCAACTAGTAGGGGAAATATGACGGCTTCGGCATGACAGACTATTTTCGGCAACCCAAACTGAAACACTATTTTCACTGGATTTTCTTACGAAAACACTTCGCTGAATGCATGCAAACGATTCTTTATGCTTTCAGCTTCAATTTGACTATATTTTTACCACTGAGAAAAAGTTATCTAGCAAGGTTTTCTTGAAATGCAACACACGCACTACAAATTGTAGCTGATTTCAAGTTGCCGATAATAGAACAGCAGATTTACATGCAGTTCAAATGGAACGGTTGCCGAAGAAAAACTGGTTGCCGACAATACTCGCTCTCACTAGAGAAGATTGGAGCTTTGTAAAAGCGTTTCAAAACAGTTTTTGACAATTCTTTCGACTAAAATTGTTAGAGCAGCTGACAGCAAAAGATTGTAAACAAACCAATACTGCATATGTGTGCGTTCCTTAGAGAAAAAGGCTATAGAAAGAAGGCCGCAGCTTAGGTTGCCGAGAATACGTAAATTCCCCCATGTTGTTATGGACGATGAAACATACGTCAAATTTTACAAGACTCTTTCAGGAGACCAATACTACACAGTCCATGATGGTCAGGAACTTGACTTTGTCGATAAGTAATTTTTTTCCGAAACATTTAATGGCCTTCTTGGTTTGGCAAGCGACATGTGAGTGTGGCAAGTTGTCAAAGCCATTTGTGACGAAGGAGACGATGAACTGGTCTGATTTGGTGTCAATGCACTACTCGAAAGACACGGTAGCTTGGTACAAAACAAACAATGTGGAATAGGTGCCAACAGGTCGAGTGGGCAGCGTGTAGATAAAACATATGATTTTTACAAAACTATCAAGCCATTTGAACAAATCTTACATCGTAAACTTAATTACATATGTTTTGATAGTGATAAGCTAACCGGGAAAATCGGGAAAATCAATAATCCTTAACATAAAGTATTTTTTTCACGCCACAGTTTCAGAATCAACTATTTGAAAAGAGCGAGTTTCTACCAAAAGAAAGCCTTGCTCTTTCTGAAACTTAATTATAAATTATTCTTGAATTTTGAACGATTTGAAATCAAACTTCAAATGTTTTTTTTTTCAAAATTTCCACGGAATTAATTAAAGAATTATTATTCTTGGATTTCTGCTCAAAATTATCATGGACTTCTTCTTTATATTACCTGAAAACTCTCCTCGTTATTACCTCACAATTCTTTTTGAAATTCCATTGAAACTCTCTTAATAATTTCTTTTGAATCCTTTGAACTGTAGGCAAAACTCTTCTCAGAAACCCTTCGAAATTCTCCTTGGAATTTTCCTCATAAATCCTTAGAATTCACTTTTGAATTTTCTTGAAACTTTCCTTTGAATTTCTTAAAGTTCTGTCATGAATCTTCCTTAGTATTGTTTCAATATTCTTTCTTCTGAATACTCTTTATATTTTGTTTGTAATTCTTTTTCAATTCCTATAAGAACTCTCGGAATGTTAATTGAAATTCACCTGCTATTCTCCTCACATGCATACAACTATTTTCAGAAGTATTCATACAATATTTCAGCGGTGCCGGTGGTGTAGTGGTAAGCGTGACTGCCTCTCACTCCAAAAGGCCTGGGTTGAATCCCAGTCGGTGCCGTCGAGATTTTCTGAGGCATAAAATCTCTGATCACGCCTTCCTTCGGGAAAGTAAAGCTGTTGCTCCCCGACCCATAAGTTGATGGGTCGATAAGTAGGGTCCAGGTACTCAGTACGGAAAACAAGATCGACGGAAAAAAATCAAGGAAAAAAAGTACACCTTACAATTCCTATGGAACTGTTCTAAGAAAGAATAAGAATTGGAATTTATATCAGAATTCCTCAGGACTTCATCCTAGATATATCTTGAAATTCTTCAAAATTTCTTAAGGGCCACATCCCACATTAGATCCGTTTGCGTTGCGTTGACGTAAACGTAACAATTAAACAATAGATTTAGCTGTCACTTGCCGCAACGTGTCAGATCCGGATCTAATGTGACTTCCTCCTCAACACTTCACCCTTTATGAATTCTATGAAAAATGCTCGGTATTCTTGTCAGAAATTTGCAGAAAATTCTTTAAGCTGTAAGAACCTTGAATATTTTCAGGACTCCTAATAATGATATTTATTTCAAAATCATGATTGTTGTAAAAAATACAAATTTGTTTTTTTTTCTTAATCTAGGATCACGAAGATTTTTAAAACTCACATCTCGAAAAAAATACGTATGAATTTTGGAAATTTTGTTACAATTTTGAAAATTTCTGTATTGGTACGAGTCTAAGTCGAGTATTACAAAGCGAGTGTCACGTCAACACATTCCTACCCCTTTGAGATCACCAGTTTTTACACATTGAGGATGATTGCTAGTCCCAAGCATCGTCTATTGGTTCTCTGTGTAATTACAGCTGGTCTGGCAATAACAGAGTAGCAACCGTGGGCGGTCAATCATGCACATGCTCATTAGAGTGATGCGAAATTTGAAATTTTCGCTCCACAATACTTAAACGATTCCAAATCGGATCCTGACTAACCTCTCAAAATTTGAACCCATTTGGTGAGAAACTGAGATGGCACAAACCATTTGAAGTTTGTATTGGAATTACTATGGTAAAACCAAGATTTTTGTTCATGTCTATCTAATAATTCACCATATCGGTTTGCTTCAAAAGCCTTCAACTGTACTTGTAGGAAATTTTTCCAGCTACAACTTTGCTGAAGACTACTTTTTGATTAAATGCAAGAATCGAAAGTTATCAATGGTTCAATGCGATCATGCTCAATCAACTGCTCAGCAGGCAACATTGGTGTTTCTTGGGCGTTGAATAGGACACAAAAATCATGGCTACTATGTCACACTGCAAAATACAGTGTTGCCTACAGAGCAGCTGCTTGATCATGTCATAAGTTTACCAATCTCTTAAATAATTAATAACTTTTTCCTGTCTCGTTTACATAGAAAAAATCTTCAGCAAAGATGTAGCTGAGAAAATTTTCTATAAGAATGGCTATAGAACTGTTCCGCAGCTCAATATGGAAAAAGACTAGAAGGCAATGAACAAAAAGTTGAGATTTCCCATAGTAATTTACATGTAAACAATTACTACAAATGGCTTGTGCGAAGTCTGTTTCTAACCAAATGAGTTGTAACTTTTATAGGCTTATCAGGACCCGATTTGAAACCATTTTAGCACTGTGGAGCGAAAAAGTCAAAATTTGCATCAGTCTAATGCTCATGCTCATGCTCACATTTTAAAACATTTAATCATTGAATTCCTTCGTTTTTTGCTGAGTATAGTCAACCGCGATTCTTTTCAAATTACCACCGGGAAAAAGCTGAGGATTTCAAAATGAAAATTCACTGGCCACCCTGGATAAGATGAAAAAATTTCCGGCTTATGAGATACGAATCAACTTGCTGTTGGGATTTTCTTTTATTACCAATCAAACAGGGTGTCAGAACTTTATGAAATATTCCTCGTAGGTAGAGTTTATGGTTATATGACATTTTTTTCAAATTGGTGTGTTTAATTTTCCCGGAAAATTTTAGTTTTTGGATTTTCCCGGACATCACGTACTTTGAAAATTCATAACTCATGAACCAAGCACCTGTGGTCAAAATTTCATAAAATTCTGAGACCCCAAACCTGTCCAATAATAAGAAAAAAAAAATCCCCTGCAACAATTTCCCTGAAACTGATGTAAAATTTTGAGAAAGATGTTAGAAGGGCTCTTAGAAGGTTTAAAAACAATTTAACACCTGCCTGTGAAATTGAAATCAACCGTTTAATACACTTCAAAAACCTTGGATATGTCTACTGTTCCGTCTATATCAAGTGTTTAATAAATTAAGACAACAACTTGCTGCTTTCAACCATATCTTCTTAATTCCCGAACCCGCCCATTCATGAATCGCTGCATCATAAAACTCACTAGAACTAGAGTAAAAATTAAAAATGTATATCTCATTTGCATAAGAAATTAGCCGTTTGTGGCTTACGTTTAGCTTCATTCAGCATACCGTTATATTGCAGTTCTTCATTGGACGTTTATCGGATCGAGCTGTGAAACGATATGTTTGCCCATAATTGTAAATTTTTCACATTTTTAGTTTCACTGTCGATGTTTCGCAATTTCCAATCAGCTGGAAAGGATCAAAGTGATATCTTTACGTTTGAAGACGATAATGACCTGACCGATTTCGGTCGGCTGTTGGTGGATCTGGTAGTTAAAATGAAAGCTGGTCATTGCTATGCCTTCATCACTGATCGTATCTACGAGGTGGTTCTTACTGATAGACTTTTCCTGGAGATCGAAAACCAACCGCGGTATGTAGTTCGTATTCCGGACGATGAAGACACGTTAGACCCGGGTCCACGTGTCCGTTGCATGCTCGAGGAAGTTCGGAAAATTGGTTGCGGTGCTTACGTAATACTGCTTGCCAATGGGATCCAGGTGGAACGGTTGTTACGCTTCGGGGATAGGTAGGGCTTTATTTTTAAATGTAATGCCAATTAGTGCAATTCTTTTACATATTCTCAGAACGCGGATTATCAATACCCGCGCTAAATTCATCATTCTTCACGACTATCGTTTGCTCGTTCCTGACCTGCATTTCTTGTGGAAGCGAATAGTGAACGTCGTTTTCGTCAGAGAACTAGTGATTGACAAGGCAAGAAGCAAGGTCAAGGACAACGGCCGACATTATGAACTCAGTACCGTTCCGTTTCCGCTTCCTATGAGGGGAATTTTCATTTCCAAAAGATTGGATTTTTGGCATAACGGAAAGTTCCGAAAGGGGCGTAAATTGTTTACAGATAAAGCCAACAATTTGGATGGTCAAACGATGAGGGTCGTAGTGCTGGCACATACTCCAGTCATATTCAGAACATCCTACAACGATACTGACGCACATCTGAAGTACTACGGCTTGGAGGTGGAGCTACTAAAGGCAGTCTCCGAAGCGATGAAGTTTAAAATGGATTTCTACGAATCGGACGATGCAGCCACTGTGATGTGGGGAACAGTCACTGACGAGGATAATGCTACTGGATTACTCGGTGAAATGGTATGGTTAATTTTCGAAATTATGTTTAATTTGGGATCGCTTTTAGTAAATATGTCACTCAAATTATCATTTTCAGTATGAAGGTCGCGCCGATTTTGCTCTGGCTGATCTTCACCATACGCAGTACCATTTGGAAATAATGGACCTGAGCATCCCGTACAATACCGAGTGTCTGACGTTCCTTACTCCGGAGGCGTTGACTGATAATTCCTGGACTACGCTAATTCTTCCGTTTACCGGTGGTATGTGGGCCGGCATTCTGACTTCGCTTTTCTCAATAGGAACGGTTTTCTATGCGCTGTCGAGGTTGCTTATGTACGTACGGCATGAAAAGTCCTATCAACATGATTTGGATATGATCGCGAAAAGATCTAGGAAGTACAAAAAGAAGAAAGTACAGTTCAAAATGATTGGCTTACTGAATGTCTATAAGCAGAAACTAGGTAAGAGGAAGTGGCTGAAACTCAAGAGGAAAGCAAATGATATTGATGTAGCTAAATTGAAAAAGCTCAAAATGGTCCCATTCAAGAGGCAAGCGCTTCCATGGAAGGATCCACTGCCTCCCCGTGACATTTTTGATACTTTTGCCGGCTGTATCATCTATACGTACAGTATGCTTTTGCTAGTCTCCCTGCCGCGTCTTCCGAGAGGATGGCCTTTGCGTCTTCTCACTGGGTGGTACTGGGTTTATTGTATTCTTTTGGTGGTAGCTTACCGAGCCTCATTGACTGCCATCCTGGCCAATCCCGTGGCTAGGGTTACTATTGATAAACTGAAAGATTTGGCCGACAGTCACATCCGGTGTGGAGCATGGGGTGAACAAAACAAACTGTTTTTCCAAACCGCTCAGGATCAAGCATCGATGATGATCGGAGACAAGCTTGAGCATACTCCCAGAGCGGATGCAGCGGTTGAGCGGGTCGTCGAAGGCAATTTCGCCTATTATGACAATGTGTATATGTTGAAACACCTCCGTGCTACGCAAAACTCAGAAAAAGCCCGCGAAACATTGCACATCATGGAGGATTGCGCCGTTCATATGCCGATATCGATAGGAATGGAGAAGAACTCACCGCTTAAACCGAAGGTGGATAAGTACGTGCGAGCGTTGGTTGAAACAGGTCTAACCAAGAAGTGGCTGGCAGACGCAATAGAAGACTTCCAGTCTAACGTTGAACTGCCACCCCAGGAAGCCACGATAGATTTGAAGAAACTGACGGCTGCGTTTATTGCACTTGCGATCGGATATGGACTGGCGCTGCTAGCATTTAGTGCGGAGAAACTGTACTGGAGATGTGTGGTCGAAAGGCATCCTGCCTATGACAAGTACATTGTTGGATCGTACAGGGGAAAGGTTGTTAGATATTGAAATTAGTATAGGAATGTTTCTATGTAGGTACACAATAAGTTTTTTTTTCCGAGATTGGCACCGTCGACTAGACTAGCTCAGTAAAATCTCCAACATCCGATTACCTCGGCATTTACTTTTGCTGATATATCTGCAAAATATCTGTTTGTTAGCTGATATCTCAGCAAAATGATATTTGTCAGCTGAGTCTCGGCAATTGTTTTACTGAATCTCAGCAAAATAAATTGCAGAACTACTTGCAAAATAAATTGCAGTACTACTGCAGTAGTCCACCAGCAATTTTAATAAGTTCTGTGTAATTCACGATAACTTAAATAAAGAAACCTAGAAACTGGTAAATTTGATTTCTTGGATTTCTCATTTGTATTTCTTGAACTTCTTCTTTTCCATCTAGATGCATTTTCACAGTTATGAATTGGGTACTTTAGGGGTATTGAGGTTAGTGGATGTTCGTAATCTGCATTACACATTAATCCAAAATCTAAAAATTTCATCAATTTTGGAGCACTGGAACTATTTTAAATAAGTGCGATTACATGCGTTACGAAAATTGGTCAGGTTCCAATCACTTATAACTCTGTCAATAGCGGATGGATTTTAATTCTAAACAAGCTAATCGATAAGAAATTTTTCTACGAATCTGCTAAAATAAACAGTTTATCAATTTTCAGTAGGTTACTATTGAAAATTACACAAATGTTGCAATGGTGATCAAAATTATCACCGATTGCCAGCAAAAAAGTGATTTCCCTAACACAGTCGCCGAATATTGATACCAAGCACGTACTCCTTCGTCAAATCTAAGGTCGTGTCTTTTATACAACCTCTTACTTTTTTAATTGAATAATATTCAAAATATGATTCCTTTGATATTTTTCTCGGTATTATTTTGAATTCATTTTCTGAATCCTCCTCAGTATTCCCATTTTGTTATCTTCAAAATATGTACCTTTTAAATTCAGCTTATAATTCCAACTCTGATCAGATTTATTGGAATCACTTGCTATTCTCCGGGCGATTCGCATAAAATTTTCCTCAGAATCACCTAAGAATTCAAAACTTCCTTTCTTCTCCACATAAATTCCTTCATCTGGGCACCTCCCAATCAACGGCCAACAAGGTTGTCCATACGAAGGTGTCGTCTCGAGATGGCGAGTTTTCTACTGTTCTTGATTTTATAGTGACGCCATCAATCACCGAGCTACCGACAGGTAAGGTAGAAATCAAAAACTGGCCACTCCCTGCTGGCATCGAGCTAGCAGACCCAGCGTTTGATGTTCCGGAAGTCGTCGATGTGATTATCGGCGCTGAAATATTCTACGACATTCTTATGAAGGGACGTGTGAAGATAGGAAGTGACTTCCCGACACTGGCTGAAACTGTGTTCGTCAGCGGTTCTGCGGGGACCAAGCAATCGGCTGTCCAAAGACGAGACTGTCAGCTAGCAACCACGTATGAAGATGTCAACCGTACTCTCTCCAGATTCTGGGAACTGGAGGCAGGGTATCACACCAGCAAGATGACCGCAGCAGAACGTGCTGTAGAACAACATTTCGATGAATCGCACAGCCGAAACAATGAGGGGCACGTTGTTAGACTGCCATTCAATAATCTCAAGGGTCAACTGGGCGACTCTTATGAGAATGCGAAGCGCCGACTTGGAAGGCTGATGGTCAGTCTTACCAAAAACCCATCCAAGCGAGAAGCCTACACGCAATTCATGACAGAATATGCGACTCTGGGCCATATGCAAGAGGTAAGCCACAACCCGGAGGAAGGCTACTTCTTACCGCACCACGCAGTCTACAAGGCCACCCGCTCGACTACAAAAGTTCGAGTGGTTTTTGATGCCTCGGCGGCGTCAAAGCGACTTGGTCACTATCATGCTACGTTTCTGTACGCATCAGGTAGTGCTAACAGCGGATGTACCTAAGATGTACCGGCAGGTACTAGAACACCCGGACGATCGAAAGTATCAGAGAATTGTGTGGTTCAACGACGCGAACGAAATGGCTACCTTTGAATTAACAACGGTCACATACGGCTGTTCGAGTGCCCCTTACCTTGCCACAAGGGCGATGACACAGCTGGCTTCGGACGAAGCAGAAAACTTTTCAGTTGCAGCTGGCGTTGTCAAGGAGGATAGCTACATAGATGATTTTCTCACTGGAGGCAAAACAGCTGCAGCCGTCGTGGAAATCTACAAACAGTTAAAGGCCATGCTGAGCCGAGGTGGCTGGTTTTGCTCCAATAGCGCTGAAGTTCTTCAGTCCATCCCAGCCGAGTTGCAGGAAAAGCAGGTAGACTTCGAGATGTCTGATATCAACGACACTAGCAAGACTTTGGGGCTAATATGGAATCCTAATTACGACTACTTCGCTTTCAACGTACCACACCTGGAGCTGAATGGAGGCAGATTCACGAAAAAGATGGTTCTATCGGAAATTAGCAAGCTTTTCGACCCACTGGGTTTCCTAGGACCGGTGGTGACCACCGCAAAACTGATAATGCAAGAGCTATGGCGTTTGAAGCTGGGTTGGGACGATGAGTTGCGATGCTACGAAGATCGAGCTACTTGGTTACTGCGATGCATCCAAACGGGCATATGGTGCTGTCCTGTACGCTCGGAGCGAGCTCAGCGATGGTAAAATAAACATTCAACTAGTGTGCAGTAAATCCCGAGTAGCCCCGACGACCATACCTAGGCTTGAACTGTGCGGCGCATAAGTACTGGCACAACTGGTTCAGAAGGCGATTAAATCTTTGAAGGTGAAGTTCGACTCGATGTTTTGTTTGAGTTGGCTGAAGAAGTCCCCAGCGGTCTTGAACGAGTTCGTGTACAACCGAGTAGCCACCATAATAGAACTAACGCAGAACTACGCATGGGGCTATGTCAAGTCCGAGAATAATCCCTCTGATGTGCTTTCGCGAGGATTATTTCCAGAGCAGCTGATCGAGGATGAACTTTGGTGGAGAGCCGCATCAGAGCAGCGACAACGTTGTGAAGCAGAAGATCAATTAGTTCCTGTGTTGGCAGATGAAGAACTTCCGCAGCTTCGGAGTACAAAAACCATTCTTGCTGTAACCGTGGAAAAATCATGTAGTAACTGGAAACGGGTAAGCAACTTCAACCGTCTGCAACGTGCTTGGGCATATGTGTGGCGGTCTGTTGAAACAACCCACACGAAGAAGAGAAATCCTGTCAGCAATCCGTTATCAGCCAGCGAATTGTCTAGGGCGACTCAAACCATCTTCAAGGTCATTCAACAGGAGGAGTTTAAGGAGCCGCTCAAGCAGTTGCAGTCCGAGGACAAGAAGCGGAACAATCTGTCCAGCTTGGCGCCTTTCGTGGACGGCGAAGGCATCATCAGAGTCGGTGGTCGACTAAAATATTCGAACATTCCCTACGAAGGCAAGCACCAATTACTGCCTCTAGAAAGGCATCCAGTGGTCGAGTTGCTAGTACGCCACCTACATGAGAAGAACCTGCACGTAGGACAGAACGCATTGATTTCGATAATTCGTCAGCAGTATTGGCCGGTTAAAGTGAAGACAACCGTCAAACGGATTACCGGTCGATGTTTCAGGTGCTTCAAGCACAAACCACCACAGTTAAATCAGTTTATGGGCGAGTTGCCAAATTACCGAGTCACACCTGCACCAGTGTTTGCTTCGACTCACGATGGAAAATGACAGGTGGGCAGGAACTCACAGTCTCCCAGTGTTGGTGAGTTCTTTGCCGTTAATGTTCACGAAAAGTTCACTATTTTGCTATACAGAAATTCAAAACAAAAATTTTATCTGCGGATTTGAACAGTTTTTGACCTGTTTCATACTACCGGAAGGTGTATGCTGGTCACAAATGCCGTGCCAAACTGATTTCCTACTCAATTAATCAATCTTTGATGTGAAATTCGCTAATAAACACGAGGCGCATTTCTTATAGCAAACATGCCATAACAAAATGGGCATGGTTCATTTAAGTAAACAAACTAACACTTCTTCCGACTGTTACACCTATGTATTAGCCGTCTCGGCTTCGACTGGTGTAGATTTTGCTGGACCATTCATAATCAAGGAAAGTGGTAAAAAACCGAAGTTTCTGAAAGCATACGTTGCTGTATTTGTGTGTATGGCAGTGAAGGTAGTGCATTTGGAGCTATGCAAAGATCTGCGCTCAGAGACTTTCTTGGCAGCATTGCAAAGATTCACCAGTCGACGTGGCATTCCTTCAAACATTCATTCGGAAAATGCCACAACATTTATCGGTGCTTCCAATGAACTTGCTGAACTACGAGAACTCTTCCAAAGTCAGTTGCACAAGGATAAGCTGACTGAGTTCTGTGCCACAAAGGGTATTACCTGGCATTTCATCCCGCCGCGTAGTCCTCACTTCGGCGGAGTTTGGGAGGCCGGAGTAAAGGCAATGAAGTACCTACTCAAACGCGTTGTGGGAGAAACGAGGTTAACATTCGAAGAGATGACGACGTTCCTGGCCGAAGCGGAAGCGATTATGAATTCTCGTCCTAAGTGCCCCTTATCAGACGATCCCAACGATTTCCAGGCTTTGACCCCTTCGCATTTCCTGATTGGACGCACAGGTCAAGCAATTCCCGAACCGTCGTACGACCAAGTGAAGATTGGCAGGCTTTCAAGGTGGCAACATGTGCAGTAGAGTGATGCAAAATTTGAAATTTTCGCTCCACAATACTTAAACGATTCCAAATCGGATCCTGACTAACCTCTGAAAATTTGAACCCATTTGGTGAGAAACTGAGATGGCACAAACCATTTGAAGTTTGTGTGGGAATTATTATGGTAAAACCAAGATTTTTGTTCATGTCTATCTAATAATTTACCATATCGGTCTGCTTCAAAAGTTTTCAACTGTACTTGTAGGAAATTTTTCCAGCTACAACTTTTCTCAACACCACTTTTTGATTAAATGTAAGGATCGAAAGTTATCAATGGTTCAATGCGCTGATGTCTTATGATCATGCTCAATCAACTGCTCAGCAGGCAACATTGGTGTTTCTGGGGCGTTGAATAGGACACAAAAATCATGCAAAATACAGTGTTGCCTACAGAGCAGCTGCTTGATCATGTCATAAGTTTACCAATCTCTTAAATAATTAATAACTTTTTCCTGTCTCGTTTTACATAGAAACAATTTTGAGCAAAGTTGTAGCTGAGAAAATTTTCTATAAGAATGGCTATCGAACTGTTTCGCAGCTTAATATGGAAAAAGACTAGAAGGCAATGAACACAAAGTTGAGATTTCCCATAGTAATTTACATGTAAACTTCAAATGGCTTGTGCGAAGTCTGTTTCTAACCCAATGAGTTGTAACTTTGGGAGGCTAATCAGGACCCGATTTAAAACCATTTAAGCACTGTGGAGCAAAAAAGTCAAATTTTGCATCAGTCTAATGTGCAGTACATGAGAGAACATTTTTGGAAGCGATGGTCTGCTGACTACCTGCACACGCTGCAGACACGGCAGAAATGGACATCAAAATAGGTGCTTTGGTGCTACTGCGAGAGGAGAACGTTCCACCACAGCAGTGGAAATTGGGCCGCATCACTGCCACACATCCAGGTGAGGACAGGGTGGTGAGAGTGGTCACCGTCAGGACGGCGAGTAGCGAGTTTAAACGGGCAGTGACTAAAATCTGTCTGTTTCCGGATGTTGACTCTAACGATCCAACGGGGGGTGTATGATTGCTCAGTAAGAAGAATACAGTCCACTTATTTCAGTGTCTACACATACAATGTTGTATTTGCGTTACCTGTTAAATGAAAAACCTTTTCAGTTGAATTATTAGTAAAATAAATCTTGTACCGAGCAGATGCGTTCAATTTTAGTTCTTCTCAACCATCGAGAAATCGCTAGTCTGAACCACGCCAAAAACTTTCCCCCAAACAAGGATCACGAAGATTTGTAGTGGTCACAAATCTCGACAAAATGTCATAGGTTCTAAGATTTCTATTACTACAGACTAGAGAGTGTTAACATATTTTCTTGTCGAGAGGTCTCCAAGAATTACCCCTAGATCTCATTTGTAATTATGTTCAAAATTTCTAAAACTATTTCTTCATTTAGTTCTTAACAATTAATCTTTCACTATTTACTATTCACTATGTTGAGGCCAAATGACTCTGTTTCACAGTAAATTACAGGGCTTTGAAAATATATGGACTGGAGCTTAAAAAAGTGATACCAATTGATTTTTCTAAGTATTTTTATCTGTCCTTAAATTGTGGGATGACTGTACAATGTATGTTTTCTTTTTAAATATTTAAACTAGTATTTAAAGTGACCCATTTATTTAGCCTTAAAAATGATTCCTTGAGTTTTGCTTCTGAAGATGTCTCCATAAATAAATTTAAAAATTTCACACGTGCTATCGAGTTAAAAAAATTTGAAATTTGGGAAAACCGGGAGAAACCTAAAATTTGCATGGCCACCCTGATGATATAACTCTGAAGTCTGAATAACGCATTTTCGAGCATTGATGACGGTAAGCTCCAACTCGAATTAAATTTTAGTCCCGCCCCTGTTTAGATGATCAGCAAAGTGTTTGCTTGGAATCGCGTTGATTAACTCTGATTTCGACATCAAAGCAGCCGGACAGTCTTGATCGTGATTTAATCCGAGGATAATACCAGTTGGAGCTTACCATCATAAGACTCGGTAACAGAGTTATTCAAGCATGAAGTGATATGGATTATAATAAATACAAGTTAGTATAAATGCACCTAATAATGAAAACGGATTTGTTAATCGCTTCACTTGGCTAGGTATTTTAATCTGTTAAAATTGTCATGAGCCCCACATTCTAAAAAAGGGCCCTTGCGTGTTGTCAAAAGGTCCTTGATGTAGTATTAGTTTTATTTATATCGTATAACGTAATATACCACAACATCTAATTCGATGTAATATTCAACAATTTATAGTGCTGTATGGTTTGTAATTTTTAAATTTGAAATAACATTATCGTTTCATGACATACTCAGAGGCAGAGTGCTTACCATGCTAATTATGTGATTACTACGATTGGCTTGAATGAATTCTATGAATGACAGTTCTTCCTTCCACTGTCGTTTCAAACAAAAATGTCAGTGTAACCGGAGATTCATTCATATTGTATTTCTGTATGGGTTTGTTCATGCCGTACATGTGTATCATTGGCAAGTACGTATTGCAGCATAGATACCGCATGCGTTTGGGCTTCGTTAGTAGTATTTTTGTACTGGCTGACGGTGTTGGTTAGTTGGGTGATTGATACAGCTGAAAATTTCTCGCAAGTTTATTTTCTGCCAGTGAAGATAAATACATCACCTATCCGAAGCGTTCCACGGTAGCACCTCAAGACGCAGTCCTAGGAAAGTCACGACCCCGAACCGTGTACCTCGGTGGTTACCATATGTTGGAAAGAAATTCATAGCCAGTTCCATTCATTTCTGGAGAGAAGACCTGCATTTTTGGGGTGATCTGGATCCGAATTCCGCTGCTCGCGATGAGAAGATAATAAATCAATAAGCATGCCACGTAATGTTACCAACAGCAGAGGACTGTGATATGACGCGGATGCAGCTACTATCGAACAGGAATTGAAGGCAAAACAATAAGGACGTCGCAAGATACGGTTTATTCAAAGGAAGTCGTTAGGAAGAAGGATTTTAAGTGAAAAGTCACTGCGGTCTGCAGGTAAGTCGCTTATATTAATGCATTATTCCTCCGCACACTGACGTGTGATGGTGCGGCACACGCGAGTCAGAATGGAAGGAATTTTGGACGGTATCTGATGGGGATGGGTGCAGCTTGTAGGCGGAGTGATGAAACCGAAGCACTATTGATTTTCGTTTAGACGAGTAGAATTGTTTATAATGTCTGGATGGGAAAAGTGTGACATTTAATATATTTTTCGAAATGACAATTGTTGGATGACTCCGCGGACAATCAGATCGATTTGGGAGCTGCATATCGTTACAATTGATAAGCTTTTAATGACTGTTTGAAACCGGTTTGTGAACCGGCATTATAAGTAGATGTTATTCAACTGTAATGTTCATGCATGTGAAATTCTCATGGGCATTGTAAAACATTTCTTTTGCTACAATGTGTATCATCAAAAGATTGGAGAGTTATTCTAGTTTTGTGTTGGTCGTATGGACGGAACTCTTGAAGATTACATTCAAAGAGAGCATTCCAAAAGAAAATGTTTCACAAATATCTATTTATTAATTTGTTTGATATAACAAATTGATAAATAGATCACTTTACTGAAGTTTTTGGATTTGACAAATTTATACAGCTTATATCGCTAACATGAAAAGATTAAAGCAATATGTAGTATGTGCCATATTTTAACGGGTTCCTTTGTTCAAGTCCAACATTTCTGTTAATTGACCATATATTCTAAGTGACCATAAATCGAGCCCAACCGTGATGAAATTGAAATTTGCACAAACATATAGACATTTTCCAGAAAGGCTTGCACTAAAAATAGATTATTACATGTAGTCACCACATGTGAAATTAAAAAAAAAAACAATTTCAGGGAATGCAACCTCAATTTCGTAGCGTTCTTCAGAGAACGTATTGTGTTTACTTTAATCGGACCATTTAATTCCTTCCATTCAAAATGTACATTAGTTCAGTCTCAATTGATGATTGCTTTCCACAGAGCTCACGCACAATATTAAGGAAGTTGACGTATTAATCACACACTCACGCAACAGTGAGTAGGATGCCCCTGCTATATCGCATAGTCAGCTCGCTGCTGGGAATCATCCTAGCCATTCGATCGTTCACTTTGGCAGCTCAACACGATGTCATTTACGCTATCAATGCCGGTGGCGAATCACACATTGACTCCCACGGGATCAAGTACGCCCGAGACCCTTTGATGGGAAAAACAGGAACGGAATCCGACTACGGCAAGCAACTGCTGATGATTAATCGTGTCAAACCGGACGATGAACTGCTGTATCAAACTGAACGGTACCACCACGACACCTTTGGATACGAGCTACCCATCGCCGGTGATGGAGAGTACGTGCTGATTTTGAAGTTCTGCGAAGTATACTTCAATGCTCCTAATATGAAAGTGTTCGATGTGTTACTCAACAGCCGTCACATGGCCATAACGGATTTGGATATATTCTCATTGGTTGGAAAGGGGACTGCTCATGATGAGTATGTGTACTTCACCGTTTCTCGAGGTAGACTGTATTTCAAAGAGGAAGACTCGGAGATTCGAGGGGGCAAAGTGAAACTGGAATTCCTCAAGGGTTACAAAGACAATCCGAAGGTCAACGCAATTGTCCTGATTAAGGGCTATGATGAAGCGACTTTGCCTCGCTTGGCATCGTTGACAAGTGAACAACCGGCACAGGAGCTGCATGGGGACACGCAAAACGAACCCAGTTCCGTCGGAGATGGGGATGTCCAGAACGATGCTAAAGCTAAACAGCGCAAGACCAGCGGTCCGAAGCAACCCAATCCGTATTCACTGGACGAATCGTCCATGATGTTGCCGGTGTTCATAGCGATCGGAGCATTTATTCCACTGCTTTTCTGTTTGTGTCGACTGTGATTTTGTTGCAAGCAAGCTCATCTTGATTTTATAAGTAGACATATAGGAACGCACGGTTCTCGGGAACGAGTTCCAGTAAGTTTGTTGAAATATTTTTAATTAGCAATCACTTTTATTTTTAACATTCGAAACATGGGTGTATCGGTTCAGTTGTAATACCTCTGCAAGGTCGGGACAAAGGATTGGGATTTGATAATACTTAATGGAAAGGGTTTGAATGCGTATTTAACGTGAATTCGAGGCTATGAAATTTAACGTAACAAAATTTCTCAGCCTCGAAACAACATCAAAACAAGTGTTTGTTCCAGCGGTAGATATATTCAATTGTAAATAGCTCAGAGCAAACGGCGAAAAATAATAATAATAATGAAAAAAAAATATACAACTGTTTCGGAATTGTGTTCAAAACACTGTCCTTAGACAGAATCGATTTTAGGGACGACAACGGTTATCATTGTTTTCGGTAGCTTAAAACTACGGCAGATTCTTACCATTCAGCAGCATATATTTAAGTACTACACTCAATTCTGCTTCTACGCGATTTTTGTTTTCCGTTCGTATTTTTGATGGTGTGATCTCAAATTTCAACCAACTTGTTTTAAAAAAATTGAAAAATAATCAAGCAAAAATTAGGTGGTATTGAAATTTAGTTGTAGGTCATTTGGCATAATGGTCGATTGGCATAACGGTAATTGCTTAATGGCGAGTTTTACTGTTTTTGATTTTGTGAGTCAATATGTATGCTAATATGTTGCGGCCAAACGTGGCACAATCTTGAAATGTGTGTAGTCGTCCTAAATGAGGCCAAAATCGATAAAATCAAAATCCCATAAAAACAGAATTGAGTGTACTATTATTACTCAAGTTAATGCATTTGTGTAAACCGAACGCTCAAAGTTGTGTTATTCCTTAATGAGTTAGGTGAATGTTTCGTTCTTCTGACTGCGGTAGCTCAGTTCAAGAAAGGCAGCAGCTCCCAACTTGTACTTATTTTAATTAGTCTACTAGGGTTGAAGTTGTTGAGAGGAGCATCCAAAAAAAAAAACATGTTTGCAATGCATGAGACTATTTATAGGCAGGCTTAGGTAGTGAACCGAGACATGCACGTGATTTTATTTTCGTGAGGGTTCTCTTAGATGAGCGATTTTTTCATTAATCCTATATTTAATCGACTGGTTCCCGAAACCAACTTGGGTAAGAGATTAAAACATTTTACCCGAACCATGGTGAAAATGGTCACGTGCACCCTCGTTTCACTACCGTTGCCTGTTCATAGGATATTAATTTAAGGGCAGTCATTTTTTTTCTTGTGTTGGATTGTAGTTTTAGGCAGTTCAAAGAGTTTTTATTTGTATGAAGTGGAAACAAACTGCTGGCGTGCAGCATGTATCAATAGATGAAACAATGAAAGCAAAACAAAATAAAGTTTTAATGATTGAACATATGGAAAATCTTCTTTTTTTATTATGAAAAATAAAATGTCCTGTTTGACAAGATACCGAAACGGTTCGCTAAATTTAGAGGGTTTGTGAACTAAATACCCATAAGAACTACTTAAAAAGAACTAATATTTTGCTTTCGGCAACGTGGGGCTTTAGGTAGGAATGAAACGTCGCTAGAACTATTCCACAGCCGCAAACAGTATATGAGCAAGTCAAACGCACACTTTTTTGCCTGTAGATTTGAAGAAATACTGCAAATCTTCTCATCCATTGATGAGTTAGCTCATTTTCAACTTCTATTCAATTGTCATACTGCCGTACTCTAGCGGAACTATCAACCTACGCTCTTCAGACCTTTATCTAGCTAATAAATTATCACACTAAAGCTTCATGTTAGATAGCATTTCCAACCAACTCTGAATGAGTAAATTTTTCCTCAATTTTCTAGGAAAAACTTCTTCTAGTTACCTCTATGGTAGAACCATAGAGGTAACTCTAAGACCACTGGGTCCCGAAGAAAATCATTATTATTTTTGGCTCACTCAGTACCAGAACAACGGTCCCAAGCAGTCCCAAGCTATTTCACTCACCCCTGCATGTTCTGCATGAATCCACACACCCCTGATGTTATCTGTCAAACTTTCATAGCGAATCAAAACAAACATAGTGTAGTAATAGAATTTCAACTAGAATAGGGTACGTTAATCGTTTGCTTGGGACCAATAGGCTACTAAAGTGGTGAGCCAATTTAAAATCGTTAGTTTCGTATTGATTGTTGGTAGAACCCCGTGAAATAGGTGAAATTGCATTTAAACGGCGGTCACTTTGAATTTGTGCCCAATGGCGCTACGTAATGTAATGCAAATCTAGATAGAGCTGGAATTAGGGCCTGACAGCTTTTGTAAACAATGACTTTTCTCGATGAATTCTAGGAATTCAAGCCGCGCCAACGCAAACCAACATAACCATCGGGTAGGGGAAGACTTCCCATACCTGTTGGTGATATTGATTTGCTTGGGCGAGAATGAGTTTCTAGAAATCATCGAGAGAAGTCATTCCCTTGTAACATTTCAAGTTTTATCGAGGTTTTAAAGCATTCTTCAAGTCTAAATCATGGTCAACAAAATCCTCATAAAACCAAAATTGTTACTTGGGTTGTTTACAAAAGCTGCTACGCCCTAATTTCAGATCTATCTAGAATCTAGAATCTAGAGTTTAATTCGACTCAGGAATTGAGTTACTTTTATCGGTCTTGTAGAGTGACAATGATGAAACAGGTCCTCTCACTATTACGAGATGAAACTACCTATCATTAGCTTTCTTGTCATTTTCAAATGATCAAGCACTCATGAGAATAATTCTTATATTTCTAACTGATTTAGTTGAATTTAACCAAGCAACCGAGCTAGTAATTGCGATGATCAAAACACTGTCACGTTCTGTCATGACAAAAAAATCGAAGAGATTTTGAAGAAAATCAAGAGAAATCACTGGTATGTTGAATGTGGCGACAGGTTTGCAACATGGATCGTTTTGATAAACTCATGCTGATAATGACGTACCTTAAACACTAATAGATATGAAGTATAAATAGATAAAAAAAGGAAAGATCTTACCGAAGGAATCAAGTGGACCTGTTGCCTCGTAGTGTTTGCATATACTGTCCTAAAAACATCCTTTTTCTTGACGTAACAGTACCACCAACAATCAATACGAAACTAACGATTTTAAATTGGCTCACCACTTTAGTAGCCTATTGGTCCCAAGCAAACGATTAACGTACCCTATTCTAGTTGAAATTCTATTACTACACTATGTTTGTTTTGATTCGCTATGAAAGTTTGACAGGTAACATCAGGGGTGTGTGGATTCATGCAGAACATGCAGGGGTGAGTGAAATAGCTTGGGACTGCTTGGGACCGTTGTTCTGGTACTGAGTGAGCCAAAAATAATAATGATTTTCTTCGGGACCCAGTGGTCTTAGAGTTACCTCTATGGTACCACTGAAGACGATCCACGGGGATCAACATGAACTGGTCCAGACTCTCTTAAAATTTATTTTAAATACCTCTACTGCACTTCCGATAAAGTTTCAACGTTCGTTGATTGACCATTCTTGAAATTCGATTATAGTGACGATTCAGAAGCGCTAAATTGGTGGCATGGTAGCTAATTTGCAGTAGCTCGTTCCGCTCGGCCAGCAAACGGGAATTCATTGTGGATCCTGAAAGCAGTTCCCTTGTTCTTAACCTTCGCAACTCCAACTCCAAACTAAGTGTATAATTTGGAGCTCAGGTTCAATACACTATTATCACTTGTATGGAAAACGTTAAGTTAGAGGAGAAATAACATGCAGGACAAATTAAAACGTCTATTTTTAACCGCAGCTTACTGCGATCTCTCGGTTTATTTCAAATAAAGGTGCAATAAGCTATTTTCACTAAAGCCCTACAGTAAAAGTATGGACGTCTGTCAAAAGTTGTTCCAATCTAACTGTCAAAATGCGCCGCTTTGCTCGATTGGAATAGCTTTCTTCAGTTTTGTGGTGATAGTCGTCCATACTTTAACTAGAGAGCTTCAATTTTGACCCATTAGTCAGATAATCAGTGAAAAGCAATGCTACTTCTGTTAATCTGATTACCGCTTTTACTGTGTTGTGCAGTGGATGTTATCCATTAAAACCACCTTTTAGATTTTGATCAATTAATCTGTGAAAGACACATAAAAACTGTGTTTGAACGAAATGTCGAAAAAGGTGCAAGGAATATTATCATAGAGGTAACTCTAAGACTAGTAGGTCCCGAAGAAACGTGCTCAACTTTTTGGCTTAGCTCTGGTACTATCTTCGGTCCCAAGCTAATCGATTCACCCCTCGAAACATAGGAAAATCCACTAACCCCTCATATTATCTGTCAACCTTTCATAGCGAATCAAAACAAACATAGTGTAGTACTGGAATTTATACTAGGAGGGGGTACGTTAGTCGATTTGCTTGGGACCAATAGGCTAGTCAAGTAGTGAGCCAATTTAAAATCGTTAGTTTCGTATTGATTGTTGATATTATGCCGTTACGTGCATATTTTATATTACAGGGGCAAAAAAAATCGTAGAACAAATGCTGTTCTACGCCTAAATTGTGCTTTTTGGAATATCTCTAAGCATGGAACTAAATCGAAGATTTAAACACGATGCTTCAGAATCCAAACAATGAAACGTGGACATCTCGTCACTATTGACAAGGCATACACAGTAAGAAGGACTAAAATGTGTTCCTTTGATTTCTGAACAATCCTGATCCCCTAGTTTTAAGTTTTCAGGACTAGGGTTCGCATACATGTAACGCAACATGAAAAGGTGATATTCCAGGGTTACTGGTTTGAAAAGATGAAAATTGACAAAAAGGAACGAACTGACCAACTTTACCCAATTGAACCTAAAGGCTTGACATTTGTTGATGTAGAAGCATAAATTCAGTGCCAACATTTCAAAGGGGCGTAATTGCATTTGTAAACAATGGCTTTAGCCGTCGATTCCTCGTAAATAAAAGCTCACTCATGAAAAATAATGACACCAGGAATGTCTCCTCTACCAGCTAGCATTGTTATTTTGGAGAGGTAAGATTTCATTCGCGTGAAATTGACGGCTAAAGTCATTGTTTACAAAAGCAATTACGCACCTTTGAAATGTTGGCACTGAATTGTAGACGGTCTGCTTGACAAAGACCAACATAAACTATGTAGTCTGATTTGTGGTAGAGTTTGCACGGAACGTCTTCCCTAGATTTGAGATAAAGATGTTCGGATGTAGTTAATTTTTGATGTGTATTGGCAAGCCAATGGTGGTCAGGTTTAGCGCTGCAACTATACGATTAGACGAATGATGGGACGTCGAGGGCCCCATAGAGGTTCTGCTTGGCTTCGCAACAGGTTGTCAGCGGCAAATAACAGGGACGTAGAACTAGATAGAATTAGATGCAGCTCTTGCAGGACTTCTTCTGTCTTAGTGGCTTAGTGAAAAAAGTGAGGAGCTAGAAATTGTATCCTGGACCTGGTTTTGACCAGATCAGCAATCGATTATAGAAAAAAAAACTCCACGGAAATCAAACATCACACGTACAGCCTACTCCCAATAACCTACTTTTTCTCCTTTTTGTTCCAAAATTCAATAAGACGGAATTCTTTCATTATTAAATATACAACTCGTTCGGTTCGTTCAATAAATATTCTTAACTATCTCTCGTTTTTTCCTTACAGCTATCTCCGTTGTGTACTTTTCCGTAAAAAATGCAATTTTCTTTATTACTAGTAGTTCGTTTAAAAAGTATAGTCTTCAAGTGGATTCAATCAATCTACAATCACCATTAGCAGCAGTCCATCCCTGTTACAACAAGAGCCCGCACTGATCAGTCGTCCTTCTCTTTGAGAGCAGCCAGTAGATTAAGCAGCCTGAATCTGTCTTGAAATCGGTAGGAAAGGAAGCAAAAGCATAATTGGTTAATTGTAGGTATTGCTGATGCGTATACAATTATCATTTGCTGATTGGATGTATCATTTGGGTCTGTATTAAACTTACATTCCGGACCTTCGCACGCGACATTTGCCCGTCTTGTCACGGTGTTCACCCCTGGCACATGGTGTAGCCGCAAGCGGTTGCGAGTTACCAGTCTGCTCACTCGGCAATGCTTCGATATCCGAATGACCGTGGCGGGCCATGTCCATACCTCCTTCGGCGGGATTTTTACGGTAGCGATTGCGTCGGTTGGCCATAATTCGAGAGTTGGAGTTTCGATACTTCGGTTTGAGAACCGGTTCGATGATGACCTCGACGGGAATTTCTTGGTAATCGTAATGAACCGGGCTCGGGTGGTAGTTGGGAGTGGGTTTGAAGATGTAGATATTGCTGGGAGGAGGGGTAGTAGTGCCCGGTGCAGACATGATATGAGTGGTGTTATCGTCTTTGGTGGGATCGGCTTCGATCCTAATTGGGACACTGGCTGGTTTCTTCGGTGGTTCTTCCATTGGTGCTTCGGTAGTCGTCGTTGTTCGCTTCGTAGAGGTAATCGAGACTGGTGTTTTGGTGGTTGACTTTGGTGGTTTTGAGGTTGTGGGACCACCGAAAATCGGAAGTGGGCTAACAGTCAGATGCGCTGGGTCATAATCGTAGTCTCCGTAGTCATAAATCGTGTCATCCTACAGTCCGACGCACGGAAGAAGAAAAAATAAGAACCCCCAATTGAAATGAAATCCATCAAATTTCTCAAAATGCTTGCTAATCAACGGTAACGATCTTCGGTATGTTTCTTTCTTACCCCAAATTCGCCATCGAACTTCTCACCATCGACGGAGATGATTTTCACATCTTTGATGTTGACGTGAATGTTGTACTTGCCGGTTTGCCGCTGGTCGTAGGTGGTTAGGGAGGGTCTTCCACCGCCGCCACCGCCGCCACCTCCGGCTTCTCTTTTGTCCGACTTATTCCATTTCATCGACGCGCTTTCCGCTATGCTCACATCGAGCAGCAAGATCAAAGTCGGCACCAGGAAAATTGCCAGTTTTCCTACGCTACTGGCCAATTCCAACCGCTTCATCGCAGGTTCTGCAGAAATGAAGAAAAATAATGAGGAAAGTTGTTATGGCTTCAATATATGCTGTCTGCTTATTTGATTAAGATAGCTAATTGTAATCATTATTAGATGATTTCATTTCCATACAACATTAATACTATAGCCTGGTATGTGAACTAAAATAATGGGATCGGAGTTCGATAAGAATGTTAACCGTTATCGAATAACGGTTATTTCTGTGAAGCTTCAATGACGTTACATTGAAAAGTAACTTCAAATAATTTTGAAGAATGAAGTCATACATTCTGTTTTAGATTTTATACGAAGCGACTGTTCACTCGATTTACTTTGATGTTTATTCAAACAATTTGAAGCATGACTGCGACTTTGAAAACATAACTCCACGGTGTGTGTGTGTGTGTAGGTTCCTACCACAAGCAAGATTGATTCTTTTCATTTATCTGCGGAGTAGGTCAAATTAAATTGCGATATAGTATCGGTAACCCAGTGGAAATGGTAAAAGAACTGTACAATACAATTCCGATTGTACTCTAACTATTCACAGACGGACGCTTCAAAGTTGAATTATCTTCTATGCTAACCTCAAAATGGTTAATTTCCTCTCATGAACCACTTAAACTGCATATAAAGTGGATAATTATCAGTAGGAACGTTCTACATAGAGGCCATTTTCATTCACCGCGTTTCTCCGACTAACTGTTCCCAGGTCATTCAGCAGAACATTAAATCCCATGAAAACCGCAGTAGAAGTACATTCGAAACCGTCATTAATATTTAGCAGCTCTCTAAGGCTAAACATCTAGTTCGCTACTATCTCTTAAAGACGCTTCTCTTTTTGGTGAAAAGTAATAAAAAGAATAGACATAGACCACAAAATCCAAACCAAGTTCGCGTGGCTGGCGAGCCGAAAACCTCGAAAAGAAGGTCTCACCTCGGGCAAAGATCGCATGTAGGGTAGGATAGACCAAAACGCACCCCTGAGTAAGATGGCCCTGCGCAATTTAACGTACATCATTGCTAGTTCAGTACTCAAACTAGCAGTTTGACACACCCAATACCAGAATTAGTAGTGGGAAAGTAACGAAAATCCACGTGGGGCCATTTTACTCCAGGGTGCATTATGGACTGTTTTCTCCTAATGACCGTTTAATTTGTTGCTTCCTGATGACTTTATTATTGCCAGGGCCACCGCACTTTCACCGCAAGATCCAGTAGGCGAGATGCTATCACCTTGCATGACTTTTGGTTTATTCAATGTTTGGTAAAAATAGCCGTTCTTGAGAAGCATGCCTTTGCTTTGCATTGTCGTATGTTGATCAGCAAACAGTGTGCAGATTCACCGTGATAATTTATCCAATTTGAGACATAATTACTGGTAGCCAGCAACCAGCGTGGCGATAATTTTGCTGCACTCGTGGTGACCTCTTCTCTACGGTGTGGTGTGCCCGTTCTGGTACCGATTTGGGGCTAAAGACATCGAGAGGGAAGAAACGAAACCCGTTACCAAATTTCAGATTGCAAAACTTGTTCCCGTTTTCCGTCGTTCACGACAAGATTTAATCGGTTTGCGTGTGTGTATTCCCAACGCAGGTACGTAGGTACAGAGATGCAAATGTCAGATTCTTGCCGAGATTCAGCGAGTGCAATTTTTTATCTCAATTAACTTAATCATAATGGTATGGTAAAAATAGCCGTAATTGGGAGAGAAAAAGTATACACAGACTTGCGTCTCAAGTACATCACTGCACGTCAGTCATGTGTCGGTCAGGAGTCTGTCGTTTATCGAAAAATAACAGTTAGCAGTGCAAAACGATTAAATTTTCACTTTAATTTAGTACATTATGTTGCATATATTTTTTTTTTAATTGACAATAAATTATCTACCAAATATCTACAAATTCACTCCCTTAGGTTGAAATCAAACAAACCATATCCAATTTATAGGAATTTCTTTTGATCCACAACACATATGTTGATTTGACGTCAAGACATAAAAAATGGGTAATTGTTTTAGGGGCTTCTGGGCGAATTCTTGCTGAAAAAATCACTTGTAATTTCCTTTCTCGATCGATAAAACTTTTTATTACCTACCATTTATTTTGATTGCCTATTCAGGGCATTAACGTCGGTAAACGGATTTGCAGATTGCTTTGGATTGTTGATGATATGAAAGCAAGCAACGAAAACCAGAAAGGTTTTGGAGGTTGGGCTGAACATTACAGAACTAATTAGTTTTGAACGCACATAGCGTTTATGGTCCACTTTGCAATGCTATTAAGAGCTATTTGTGGATACTGTTCAGAATAAGAAGATTATTTGATTGAAATAGGTAATGCAAAAGGTTCAATTACCCTTATTCGGGAGTACGAGTTCATAACGTGCATTTTGCTGTTACAGTATGCAAAAAAAGTTTATCCACCCCCCTACCAATTAACATTTCTTTTTGTTTTTCTGGTGAAAATCAGTTTAATTTTATAAGTGTTCCTCCATGATTTATCAATTTATGTTATTTATCACATTTCCATTGAAAATACGGCGTTTATATCTTTTCTTGAGATTTCATGTGATAAATTATGAAAAATGGTAAAAAATTACGCAAAAAAAGTTTATCCACCCCCAAACGGATACTATGATTTAAGTGTGTTTTACAGAATTTTAGTGTGTATTCTGCAACTTTATCGAATGTAAACATTGTGTCTATCTGTCATTTAGTACTCTTGAAGTTTTCGTGCTCAAAATTTCAGTTTTTGTGTTAAAAAATGGAAGTTGTTTGTTTCAAAATGCCTAAAAGAGATCCAATTTCGATCAGAATCTGAAATTTGATTATTGAACATCACAAAACTCGCAAAAGCTACCGTGATATTGCCGATATTGTCCAGCTTCACAAAGATACGGTCGCTAGAATTGTGCAGATGTACAAAAAGCGTGGTTCTATCTCACCAGCTAAGCGATCGGGGAGTCCTTCAAAGACCACTGGCCGAATTGACAGAGCTATCGTGAAGAAGGCAGAGCTAGACCGGGGACTATGAGCTCTAAAAATTGCGAAACAGATTGAAAGCGAGTTTTCCATTCAACTGACATCACAATCCGTACGAAATCGTCTTCATAAGAAAAGTTTTAAGGGCAGAGTAGCTCTTAAGAAGCCATGGTTGTCCGCAAAAAATTTAAAAAAAGATTGAAGTGGGCCCAGGACCACATTTCATGGACTAGTGATGACTGGAATAAGGTGATCGGGTCAGTCGAGACGAAAGTAATGCTATTTGGGTCACCATTGATACCATCAGACCCAAATAGCATTACTTTCGTCTCGTCATGGTCCATGAAATGTGGTCCTGGGCCCACTTCAATCTTTTTTTGATATATATTGTGGACAACCATGGCTTCTTAAGAGCTACTCTGCCCTTAAGACTTTTTTTATGAAGACGATCTCGTACGGATTGTGATGTCAGTTGAATGGAAAACTCGCTTTCAATCTGTTTCGCAATTGTCGGAGCTCATAGTCCCCGGTCCAGCTCCGCCTTCTTCACGATAGCTCGGTCAATTCGGCCAGTTGTATTTGAAGGACGCCCCGATCGCTTAGCTGGTGAGATAGAACCACGCTTTTTGTACATCTGCACGATTCTAGCGACCGTATCTTTGTGAAGCTGGACAATATCGGCAATATCACGGTAGCTTTTGCGAGTTTTGTGATGTTCAATAATCAAATTTCAGATTCTGATCGAAATTGGATCTCTTTTAGGCATTTTGAAACAAACAACTTCCATTTTTGAACACAAAACTGAAATTTTGAGCACGAAAACTTCAAGAGCACTAAATGGCAAAAAGACACAATGTTTACATTCGATAAAGTTGCAGAATACACACTAAAACCATAGAGGTAACTCTAAGACCACTGGGTCCCGAAGAAAATCATTATTATTTTTGGCTCACTCAGTACCAGAACAACGGTCCCAAGCAGTCCCAAGCTATTTCACTCACCCCTGCATGTTCTGCATGAATCCACACACCCCTGATGTTATCTGTCAAACTTTCATAGCGAATCAAAACAAACATAGTGTAGTAATAGAATTTCAACTAGAATAGGGTACGTTAATCGTTTGCTTGGGACCAATAGGCTACTAAAGTGGTGAGCCAATTTAAGATCGTTAGTTTCGTATTGATTGTTGGTGGTAATGCTTGTTTGTATACATCGGTGACATTAATCGGCAAGTCTATTACTACACTGTCTACAGCGTCCACATTTTTAATTCACTCAGTTCATGCACCCAAATTTTATTTGAACTCTGATAAGAATGTTCTGAAACAGTATTTTTTAGGATTATCAATACATTAATAGATTTTTGCTGTTAATTTAAGTGCATATCCATTTAAAAAAAAGGATCGAGGCAGGCCGTGCATTGAAACTGACGTGTTTTGTTTTAACTGCTGCTGCTTTATTTTTCGCTTATTTTGCTGAGTGTTTAGTGAACACTTAGTGAGAAAAATGTAAAACTCTTTCAGCTGGTGGATATTTGACGAACGAAAACATTTTCAATAATTTCATGTGTGCTTATAAATGTAAAGGTCGCGTTTGCTTATAAATAGGAACGAAAGGATTTTTAGATTACCGTGAGTGGTGCTATTTTGGAGGTGGAATTTGGTGAGATCTATCTGATTATAAATCACTTATAAATGCCTAAAGGGTGTCCCAGATCAAATTGCATTACGGAAAAACGCTGTAGAATGTTACCCATTGGGTATTTTCTCTTGAAAATTTGGGTAGAAGTAGTTTAGAGCATGGGCCTCCCTTAGCTCAGTCGGTAAAGGCGCAGCTACAAAGCAAGACCATGCTGGAGGTGGCTGGGTTCAATTCCCGGTCCGGTCTAGGAATTTTTCGGGTTGGAAAATATCTCGACTGTCCTGGGCATAGAAGTATGATTGGACTTGCCACAGAATTATACCAATGCAAAAATGGTACAGGCATCGAAAGCTCTCAATTAATAACTGTGGAAGTGCATCTAGAACACT